CCGGGACTGGCAGCTCCCTGCCCGCGCCTGTCTGGGCTCTGGGTGTAGGAGGGAGGCCCGTTTTTGCTTAGTTCTAAAACAAAACAAAACAAGTCAGCGAGTGGGGGGCGGGGTGTGACTTAGCTGCACCTTCCTGGGTCATTTCTGCTGTTCCAGTCTGTGGGGACGGAGAAAGGCGGGAGTGACGGGTACCACGGAGTGTTAATGTGCCTGGGGAGGGCAGGCATCGTGTGCAAGATACCCACGATGTAGGTGAAATCTGAAGGTGCAGTGGATACTGCCGTTTGTGTTGGACGGCGGGCGGCACTGAGAAGAGGATGCAGTTCAGTTCCCAAGAGGAGAAAGGACGTTCTGGGGGTTTCTCGACTGCTGGGGAGGGGGGCTGTTATGCAAATGATTTGAACTCTTAGAGGTTCACCCCTTATCTGGGAGGATGGGCCTTGACCTTTTCCATTTTCTGAAACCTGGACTTAGTTGTAAATTTTTCTGTGATCCCAGGATGCCGTAGGAAGCACATAAGAGGCAGCTCCCTGCCTCTGGGAGCTCCGGAGGCGGAGGCAAGCTGGTGGCAGCTCCCAGCACATGCCCCCACCTACATTAGAATGTTTAGCTTTTTGCCCGCAGCATGCTGGGTAGTGTGTAAACAGGTTGCTTTGTTTCTGGCCCTGGGCAAAGGCTTCCTCTGCTTCAGCAGGCCAGGAGTTAAGAGGAGGAACCCTGTGTGTGTATCTGGAGCTGTCAGGTGAGGGAGGGCAGTGTTGGGAGGAGCTACCTTATAAGGAGTGGAAGCCAGCCTAGGACCCAGGCCAACTTCCTGCTTTGGCTACTACCATTCGGCCCTTTACCAACCCCAGCTACAGCCAGGGAAAGATGCCAGATGGGCATCCCACCTGGAAAGATGCCAACTAGCCCAGACAGCAGGCTACTTGTTTTGTAAAAGCAGATGTGTTCTAGCTGGAGGAACCTGACCTTCTGGTTTCCATCGTTGGGGATGGATGTGTTAGTGTATACTCACTGCAGGTCAGGAGAACCAGCATGATTTCAGTGTGGACCAGAAACATCAGAAGTGATAAACAGTTACAAGTACTAGGAACTTTTGAATCCAGGCTGGCCTTGAACTCAGTAGGTAGCCCAGGCTGGCCTCCAACTCCCAATGATCCTTCTGCTTCAGCCTCCAGAGTGCTGGGACCACAGGTATGACCCACCACATCCGTCTATAAGCACTACATAGGGACTCTTGAGGGGGTTCGGAAAGAACAATAACTTTGTAATCCATACCGGTCACAGTGCTACAATAAGACTGCTCACCTTGGTAATCTGAGATTTGGACTTGTAGAGCTAAGATGTTTATTAATCTTCCTCATGTGGTAGAATGCTGGCCAGGTCTTTTCACTTTGGCCTCCTTTGCTTCATTATCAATTTCTGTGCCACGGAGTGACCAGCTGTAATGCCACACGTCTCCTCTACCTCCCCATCATATCAGTTTGTTAACAAATGTCTGTTACACAACCACACAGTGCACAGCCTTGCTCTGGGCATGTGTGGCAGCTGTATGACTCTAGCTGGGACCTACAACTCATTTCTGAAGTGTCCTGAAACCTTTTTGGAGGAGTAGAAAGACCCAAGCCCTGCAACCACTCAGGTCTGCCCTCAGTTCTGGCTGTCACTCAGTCTGGGTGAGGGTGGGCGAGGTACCCACCTCCCGGGTTCTACTTGTGTAGATGGGAGGTGTGATGCCCTCCAAGCTGGTTGGAGACACACGTAGGGGAATAGTAGGTGTTTAACACGGTGTCTTACTGTCACATCAAGATGTGACCTCACAGTGTCATTGATGAGGGGGTACAGATGGTCACAGTGTGGATGGGTTCCTAGGAAAGGGTTTCTGGAGTCAGGTGACTGGGGTCCTGGACCAGTGAGTCTCTCAGGAGGAAAAGGAAGCAGCACCATCTAGGAAAGTGGAGTTGAGGCTGGGCAGCTTGAAAGAGGGGGCAGCATGGCAGGTGCCTGGGCTGGAGAGTGTGCCAGGCAGCAATGACTTAGGCATTTGCCTTTCACCTTTCAGGTGGCTATTGTTGTACAGGGCTCTCTGCTGCGCACCAGGAAGCCCATTCTAGGCTCTCGGGTGCTCAGTGAAGGCTCCTCCACGGTGGCTAAGTGAGCCCTGGGCAGGGCAGGGATAGTAGCCGGGCATCAGTTTGCATAGGGATCTGCCCTCTGCAGCCAGGCCTCTGCCCCACCTTCTGCGGGGAGGACCTGGGACAGTCCCAAGCCTCATGTGTCATCCTTTTTTTTTTTTTTTTCCCAGCTTTAATTGAGTTTATTGGTACATTTTAGGGATACAGTACAGTTAAATTCATTGTTGGGATCTTGTACCTCTACATGACAAGTCTTGCTTCTCATTTTTTCCCCTTACCCCTGCCCTCCCTTCACCCCCTCCTCTCCTCCCCATCTACAAATAAGGGAAAAGAAGAAAAAAATGTGTCATCCTTTTTTTTTAGGGAAAGGGTCCGCATCCCACCTCAACATGTCACGACGAAGCCAGCGCCTCACGCGTTACTCCCAGGGCGATGATGACGGCGGCAGCAGCAGCAGCGGAGGGAGCTCAGTGGCTGGGAGCCAGAGCACCCTGTTTAAGGACAGCCCTCTGAGGTAGGGACTCACCAGCCCTGTACCTCCCCCCTGCAGCCTTTAGGGTTGTAGATGCCTGAGCTTGCCTAAGGGGGTTCTTTGTCTTTTGAGGTGCAGTGCCTAGCTCCCCCTTCTTTACCCACTGTAAGCTTGTGCTGGTGCTGCTGCCCTCACGATTAGAGAACAGGAAGTGGGGAGAGGCAGCTTCAAACACACACCAGGCTGGAAATCCCCAACTGCAAGAGAGGCTTACAGGAACCCCTTCCGCTCTGGATGGGCGTGGTCTCCGGAGACCCACAGCTGGTCCAGACTCACCACCTTGGTGTCCTGCCCCCTTGCAAATGCGCGGCCAAGACACTGGCTAGCTCAGAGCTGGGAGGTCAGGTCATCCGAGTTTTCCATGGGTTGTCAAAATTACTAATCCACTCAGAAGGGTGAGAAAACTTTTGGCTTTGATGTTAGAGCCCTAGGTTTGAATGCTAGCTCCATCCCTAACTGATGAGCTGGCCTCTGAGATTTAGAGATAAAAAGAACAGAGAAAATAACTAGGGCTGGGCTGTAACTCAGTGATTGTGTGCTTGCCTAGCATGTGCAAGACTCGGTTTAATCTCGAACACCAGCGGGGAAACCTCACCAGTAGAGCTGGTTCTTGGTTGCATAGCAACAAGGCCAACCCACGCTATCAATGGCAGGGGTGTCAGGGCCCCGCTCCCTGGCTCAGCTCACCTCTCTGCTCCCTGCCTCTCCCCTCATGGCTGACCCACAGGTCCTTGAAGAGGAAGTCCAGCAACATGAAGCGCATGTCCCCAGCACCGCAGCTGGGCCCCTCCTCTGACACGCACACCTCCTACTACAGCGAGTCCGTGGTCCGGGAATCCTACATAGGCAGCCCCCGGGCCGCGTCCCTCGCCAGGAGCGCCCTCCTCGACGACCACCTGCACAGTGAACCCTACTGGGGTGAGTGACCTGAACCCTCCCCTCGGGGCTTGTCCCCCTCTGAGCTCTTCCACAGTGTCCCCCTATGAACACCCCTCAGCAGAGACCTTGTTCTTGCCTGGCAGGTGAGGACCTGCGTGTACGGAGGAGGAGGGGCACCGGTGGCACGGAGAGCAGCAAGGCCAACGGGCTGGCGGAGAGCAAGGCCACCGAGGACTTCCTGGGTTCCTCTTCCGGCTACTCTTCCGAGGACGACTTCGCAGGTAAGTGGCACCTTCCCTCCCCAGCTCATTCCAGAAAATGTGTGGGTGTGGGCAGGGAGCGCCCCAAGAGCACAAGAAAGCACAGTGTGTGACAAGCCCCTCACAGCCTGGTGTGGGCACCTCTCTTGTGCCCAGAACTCTCTGAGCCTGGCCTGTGACTTTCAAGTACTTGTCCATCTGCTCCACCCCACCCGAGGCCAACACTTCTGGGTTCAGCTCACTGCAGCAGTTTAACATGGGGCTCTGAGCATGGCAGGTGTTCAGTAGTTGTTTGTGAGGCACGTGGGTGATTCCCCTTTGTCTGATTCTAGTCAGTGGGTTGAGGGATCTTCAGTGAGGAAAAGCTCTGGTAGGAAAGAGAATGTCAGAAACTGAATTAGGCATTTAGCTCAGTGCTTCTGCCGCCTGCCTTGTAAGTACAAAGTCCTGAGTGCGATCCCCAGGACCACCCGCAAAAGAAAAGTATCAGAAACCTCCCGTTGCATTTTTTCCACAAACATTTCCTGACCTACTGTGTGCCAGGCCCATGTGATGCTCTGGGGACACAAAGTAGAAGGCAGCTGTATGGCCTCAGCTCAGGTAACAGGCTTCATGTCCCTAAGCATCTTAAAAGTGACTCCACCCACGGATAGTGGCAGATGCCTGTAGTCCCAGCACTCGGCAGGCTGAGGCAGGAGGATCACTGTGAGTTGGAGGCCACCCTGGGCTACATAGTGAGTTCAAGACCAACCTAAGCTACATAGTAAGACCCTGTCTCAAAAAAAAAAAAAAAATGTTAAAAGCGACCCCAAGCTGACTGGATTCTTCTCACCATTCCCTGCAGGCTACTCAGACATGGACCAGCATAGTTCAGGGTCAAGTTTAGGGAACGTGGTCTCTCGGGCAGGCTCCTTTGTCTGGACGGTGGTCACTTTTCCAGGTGAGTGCTAGCTAGACATGCTAGGTTACTTCCACTCTGCAGCAGTAACTTCTTACCCATCTCTGTGGGCTCCTAGAATAGGCACTGGGCTGGGAGAGGCAACTATGGAGCAGGCCAGAGGGTGTGGGCAGCATGGACAGGTGGGATTGGAACTGGGCCACTATGGGACAGGACAGAGGTGCTGGGAGTGGGACAAGGAGGACCACAGATGGAGAGATGGCAGCATGCTAACCAGGCTCAATGGACACTTTTTAGGCCGGCTCTTCAGGCTTCTCTACTGGTGGGTTGGCACCACCTGGTACCGCCTGACGACAGCAGCCTCGCTCCTGGATGTCTTTGTTTTAACCAGGTGAGTGAGACCACAGCCCCGACAATGGATCAGTCAGAAGCCCTGGGACCAATAAAACATCAAGCCTCTATGTGGTCATTTTTCCAAAGGTTTCCCCAGTTTACCTGTAGCTTTTATCAGTGAGCTGGGAAGGGACCCCCAGTGCCCATCCTGCCTGACAGAGGGGTCCCCAGAGCAGGTTTTGCTCCTGAATCCATAGCCCTGTGGGGCAGGACTCGGCAACACAGGTTATTATTTCTGCCTGGATGCTTCCTACTGAGCACCACCCAGCCTGGCCACTTCTAAGTTTCAGTGGCCTTATCTCCGTGCTCAGCCCTGAAGTGAATGGGGCCCTAGAAAGTTCATCTTCCTTCCTGGGCCCGTGACAGCCCAGACCCCAGAGTTTTCCCACTCTTCTTCGTCTCCCAAGTTCCCAAACCACGGAACCAGGATTTGGGAACCTGGCCCTTAGGCAGAAGAAAGAAGATTGGACTGGCATCGTTGTGGTCAGGGTGGGCAGCTGGCTCTGCTGAGACTCAGGGCAGGGTCAGGTTCGTGGCACAGAAACAGTCTGCTGGTTCTGAAAGCAAACATTGTTTGTTTAGGGAGTTACATAGTTTTTCTACATTTCTATATTTGCTCTTTTATATTTATAGGAGATCTCTATTAAAATGTTTAGGTGTGCCATTATTAATAATATCAGTAAAATGCATAGTCAAAATTGCCCCTGCCACCCTGAAGAGAAGGCTATGGCATCCGTTCTGGCCCTGGTTCCATGAGAAGTTTAAGGGTTGTCGCCCTCAGTTCTAGTTCAGGGCACAGGAGAAAGTCTGAGGGACTTGCTGGGGTGTCGCAGAGGCCCCAGCCATCCCCTCACATCTGCGCTCCTGTGTGCCTTCCCGATCCAGGCGTTTCTCGTCCCTCAGGACCTTCCTCTGGTTCCTCCTGCTGCTGCTGCTCCTGACAGGCCTGACCTACGGTGAGCTGGGGCCGGGACAGTGTGGCTAGGATCCAGGCAACAGGCAGGGACAAGGCAGAGGCCTGCGCCCCCAGCCCTTCCCGCCTGCCACCCCTAGGGGGTTCTCCCCTATCTGCTGCTGCTGAGCTCTCAGGATATCTGGGGACACAGGAAAGGAACCCCAACCTACTGACTTTGCCCTCTGGGATATTCTCCAGGCCACCTAGGGCAGGAATGCACCCCAGGACAATGTGGGTGATAAGCAAGAACTTGGATGCTATTATTAGTAGCAGTCCTTTTCCCTTCAGTCCAAATCAGGATGTAGCCTGTGTGGGAGAATTGTTTTCACAAGATCAAGTTAAATCTTTAGCTGCCTTTAAGCTAAAAACAGTGAAGTAGTAAAAAGAAATATGTATCCCATTTCCACACTAAAATAGCAGTCACTTGCTGGCTGCTTGGCATTGTTCCAGTTTTGGGGACCATCTTGTTCATGTTTATGTTTTTTGGGATTCTTTTGCCCCTGGTTCTGGGGATTGAACCTAGGGCCTTGCACATGCTAGGTGAGTGCTCTGCCACTAAAGCTACATCAATAGCCCATGCCCCTCTTATTTTTTTCCTGAGGCAGGATCTCAGTAGATTGCCTAGTCTGACCTTGAACTTGCATCCTCCTGCCTCAGCCTCCCAAGCTGCTGGGTGTACAGACAAGTGCCACCGCACCCTACTAATATAT